GGAATTGTAAGATGCTCTTTGTCCAGGTCCAGACTCAAGCCAGAATGATATGCAGTTATGCCTCCTTCCCCAGAATAGCTATCCTAAATCTTACATTCAACTTTGCCAGCTCTACAAATGCCCTATTCTTTTTCTCAGTGAAGACTTTCTCCTTAAATTCTGTGTGATCATTTCTGCTCTCTTAAAGACTGTTCAGATAATGCTAAGTCATCAGGGGACTAGTGTAGTAACCAAAATTAGAGAACCTAGGTGTGAGTTTTTGCCTGACTCAGGCCTGGTTCACACTTGTTGATTACCTCTTAAGTTGGGTATGTGGAGGAGGAATAATAGATTAATCAGAAAAAATAAGAACTTCCATATGATACAGTATCAGTTCAAACAAAGAATGTCGTCACATTCAGCTGAGTATTGTCAAATGTTGAGTATGTAAGTGCTGATGAGAAATCAAATGGTATGCATCATTCCCAAACCACCCTAAATTGTTGTTGTTTTACATTGAGGTACCAAGTGGGAACAAAATGTGACCTTCTACATTTTAAACAGAGCTGGCACCTGGCATTAGATAACTGTATTAGCTGAGTTGTTTCATTAATGAGATGCTGTTGAATGGCTTTTGTACACTTATTTGTCAGGGGTTGACATGTCATCTAATGAAATTTTGAAAGCCCCTAAAATTTCAGTGGCACACGTTCTGCTCAGAAAAACAGAAGCCCAAATGGCCACGAACAGAAAAACAATAGTCACTAGTGCAGTACCACAAATTTGCTTCCATGAGAGTTTCTGTGTGGTAAAGACAGGTTTTTTAATACATCTTCGTATGTTTCAGCACATGCAATAGGTGACAAAGCAGAAGAACATATTTGAATTTAGCTGCACTTTTCTTATGCAGTGCAATAGAACAAAATATAAAGATTTCCACATGCAGAATAAAAAATTAGCTAAAATATAGGATAATAATAAATCTTTAACTTTTATCTTCTCTAATATGTCTACACTTAGATGGCTTCCCTTACCATTAGGAAGTTGAGCTGATGAGCAGGTTTAAAGCAAGAGAATGTCTTTCTCTAAATGAGAGCAATCACATTTTAAAGACTTACACAGAGATAGGGATTCACTTCTGGAGTCGTATATGATCACATTTTAAATCCATTAGAGAACTATTGTGGAAAGGAAGCTTGTATAAGAAACACGAATGTGACATTCTTAAACACTTAACATGAGAAGAGCAGAAAATTGTGACGACATTACAAGTGGAGAAAGCAGACTGCTGAAATCCACAGAGATTAGCAGCCCCAGTCTGTAGAGACACAACCGAGAAAAGCCATCTATGGCCATGTTGCAGCAGAAGCAGCTATGATTGGCTGCTGTCATTTGGTCTTTGCCAGTGTAGACAACAGGTGCAGAGTTGCTGACAGGTGTGGATATCTAGGATGAGTAAAATTGCTGATGCCTAGTGGTGGAGCCTTATGTCAGACTGTAAACTGCTGAGCTCTCACGGAACAGGGAGCCAACTTGCATGTTTTCGAATGAGTTGATGTGCACTCATTCTCTCCCTCCTCCCCAGAGTGGATCTCCCTGAGTGCCTGGATGACTAAACTCAAGCCCTTCCAGTGCCATAAGATGACTGGGTGTGTAGGGGGGCGGGAGGGAGCATAAAACGAGAGAAATACCTCCTGTATAAGACTGTGACAGGGGAGCTGTGTTTCTTGTGTTCTGTTCACATGGACTTATGCTAAAGAAAGTCCCATCCCAAAGAATTGTATCTGGTGGAAATCTTGGTAGATTCCATTTTGGTTTCAAAATTACAAGTCATCTTTCAGGGTGGCCCAAGATACTTTGCTGCTTGAGAGTGAAGGGCCACCCTGTTCCATGTACAAAAGCTGAATGGATTTGCAGCCAGACCTCCTTCAGCAGCTAGGGCATTATTCTTTACCACATGTATAGGCAGTGGGCTCACTTAGGCAGCTGTGTTGCTCACTACTTTCTGCTCACACACCTTGCTGGCACCTCCCATTCTGCCTAATGACAAGGCTGGTTCTGGTTTTAGTAGTATATAAATTATATTTACCAGTTTTTAATGACCAAACTAACACTGAAGATTGGGGACATATGCTTCTGAAGGCCTTTAAGAACATTCTGCAATTTGGAATGAACCAAAAAAACCCCCATCAAAGATATAATAATTGTGGCTATAGATGAAGGATAAATGACTGGGAATTTCAGAGCTAAACCTGCTCCCCTGAGTGGTTCCATCTGACCCTCCAAAAGCCAGCCCAGTAGCCAGGAGCTGTGACTCTTGCACTGTGACGCTTGAAGTTATAGGGGAAGCCTGGGTCCATCGTGCCTTCTGCAAAGTGACCCTCCTTTAAAACTAGTTGCTGACCAGGTTAAGAAATGGAAATACTTAAGATCAAGAAATGGAAATATGTACATGGTTTGCTTTTGTTTTGTTTTTCTCCTCAGTTGTATTCTTCTGTTCAGTGTGACTTAGCAGGTCTTACATTATTGGCTTGCCACATGGACTGTGTTGTGCTTACTTGGATAGCACTAGTAGTGAATGCTGGATGTAGAATTGACTGCTTTCAGTGTGCCAGGTTGTCAGCTCTGAGCCTGTAAAAACGAACATTTAAAGAAAACATTCATGCCATCAAAAATGCACCCATTTTATGCTGTGTTTTGAATGAGTAAAAGCAGACACTCCAAAATTCTATCTAACACCTTTATTGAACTTTCTGCATTGCCAAATACAGTGGCAACCTCTGTACTCACAGTAGGGGTGGACTGGGAATATACTGCACAGATTTCTGCCTCCTTGAGTTACTCAAGACATAAATCTTCCTAATGGGAGCAAAGAGCGTAAGACCTGGCTGGCCTTCAATGACAGAGAAAGACATTTCAGATCCACAGCAAGAAGCAACAACTGGGGGAAATAGGCTTCTCACCACCATTCGAGGATTAATTCCCCTTCAACACATGGTGTCATGAGGAAGGATTTTAAAGAGAGTTACACTTCAGGCTCTTGCAGTTTTGTTGTGTTGATTATCCAGGCTCCAGAAATCTGAACAAAAGAAGCCCTTAGATTGCTGTTCACTTCTTTTAGGTTTCAAAGTGACTCTAGGAGTAGTGCTTTTTTTAAAACTGGATCTGAGAAAATAAATGGAATATTTTGTTCTCTGACTGAGGAATTAATGTATATTGTGTCCCTCATTTATCCCAATCCAGCAAGAATTGATTTCAGTGTTCCTAACCATGCTAAGTTTCACTTGCCTGTCTTGGATTGCTAGCATCTGAAATTCTATTTAGCCTAGGACATCAGTGGGTACCCTGCAAGTGTTTGTATACACCTCTTAAAAACTAATAAGTCTAAGAATATTTGTCATATTTGTATCCTGCCCTTTTCCATTTCATATAAGCCCCACAAGAGATCTGGGAGGTAGCCTGAGCTAAGAGATGACTTGTCCAAAGCTGTGGCATAACTTACCTTCTTGAGGGGAAATGTTGACCTGATTCAGATTAAAATCCCTTATTCTGCACTGGCCCCAACCCTTCTTCGAGTCATAAAATGGGAAGTAGTGTGGTACAACATTTAAAATACAGAACTGGGACTCACATTCCTGGTGTGCCTGAGAAATCATTGAATTATCCCTAAGTAACCTACTTGGTAGAGTTGGGAGAATTAAAATTAAAACAGGGGAGTGGGAGAACTATGTATACAGTTTGCAGCTTCTTGGAGGAAAGACTGAATATAAGTATGGCAGTGATATAATGAATAAATACATCATGGTCCATCTAATCTCACCCTTCTTAATAAAGAAGGGAGGTGTTCACTGTATGTTCAACCATTAGCCATAGATATGTTGAACTACTCGGGTTTTGCATGTATTGGACATAAAACTTTGAAAGTTATTTCAAATCTCTTCTTTGCTTGATTGGGATGAATGACAGTAGCACATATCTTAAAAAGAATGGAATAGTAACACAACTCTTCTTGTGTTACTGCTCTTGGACATGACTGTGAGGATGCCTCGATAACGAAAAACTGTAACATGGGCAGTCTTCAGTGTCTTGACATTTATTTATTATTAAAATATTTCTATCCTGCCTTGTATCAGTAGATTGCAGGATAGGGTAAATTAATAGAAAACAATTTATCATAAAACCACAACAACATAAAATGAGCATTAAGAACCCAAGGAACCAAATCAAAACTGAGCTACAGTCAGCATAGCCAGAAGCCAGGACTTAATTTGGTAATGAAATGAAGTCAGTGTCAGCACTGGCTGGGACATTTCCCATTTCAGTCCTTTGCTGCACATAGCAGGAAGGAAGGTACCTACTCATTAATGCAAGAGCCAGTAAGTCTTAATATCACGGAGTATTGTTGCTGAATGAAGGCTGCAAAGCGTTGCTTCTGGATTGTCATTCTACTCACAAAAAACTGTTTGCTGTTCCCTGGTTGATTAAATAGAGTACCCTTTCCATGCACTAGAAATATGTAAGTGATGATGTTTCTGTTGTAGGGAAAGCATAGTGTAGATAGTAGTGCAGGCATTTTACTATTCTCTCCATTTATTGACTGACTCCAGATTCAAGAGAGGTTGTAGTGGCTTTCTCTTTGCCTCTGGTAACAAGAGCTGCCGTTTGTTGACCTAATGCTTCTCTCTCCGCTTTCTCTCCCTAATGTAATATGTAACAGCCGTCAACCACCAGGCAGCCTGAACTCTGGTAAAGGCCCTGGATCTCTCTCTTGCAGCCTATGACAAGGCTTGAACTTTCCAAATTATGTATTTCAGACGTTGAGAAAGAAAGGACTTAATGGCTGTGACAGTCCAGACCCCGATGCTGACGATTCAGTAGGTCACAGTCCTGAGTCTGAGGACAAGTACAGGAAAATTAATGAAGATATTGATCTAATGATCAGCAGGCAAAGATTATGTGTAAGTACTCTTGAGTTCCCTTTCATTTTTTTTTACTTTCTGATATTTCTCTGAACCTGGCAGGCATTGAACAAGAAAGAAAACAAAGGCTGTGAAAGCCCCGATCCTGACTCCTCTTACGCCCTCACCCCACGCACTGAGGAAAAATACAAAAAAATTAATGAAGAATTTGATAATATGATCAAGAGCCATAAAATTCCTGTAAGTACCAAAGGTTAGATGGCTGTCTGCTGATAACCACTGCAGTAACACACCCTAACCCTTTCAGTTCTGGTTTCTTATGAAAAAGCAAATTGGGTGAGAGACACATTTTAACAGTTCCCATGAAAACCAAATTGCATATAGGAAATACCGCACCACTACATATTTTTGCTCTTGAGGTGTGCAAAGTTCCTTAATGAGATGCATTTGACAAACCAGAGGCAAGACCTAAAGAAGGAAGTTTGACAATGTACATTACGTACAGTGAATTTTCAGAATTCTGGTTTACCACAGTAGCTGTCCCCAAATGTATTTAGAGAACATCTGTAAACTATGCTGTGGACAGGTTAACATAGTCACAGACAACTTTCCAAAGAAAGAAATATGGCATAAAGTCTTCTTTTTGAAAATTACAGAATGTGAGTCCTGCTACCACCATTATTAAAACTGAGTTCTAAATTCAGTTACCACACTGAAGGGTTATGTAGCTAATTGCTAGTTGCAGGAAAATAGACTGCATGAGAGCGTAATGGTAGCATTCAGTCACGTTTGTGTGTTGGAGGTGATTTTACAGCTTTCTCCGAAGATTTGCTTTGACTCCCATCAGCATTCCTCTTAACGCTATAACAAGCGCTACATTTTGTTTTAACCAAGACAGAAGTTCTAACAGTCATATGCCTTGCCAGATACTTAAGGGAAATAACTCTGCATGTAGCTATTTTGTTTTGCACAGACATAATGGAAGAAACCTCAAATGAATACTACAAGTATTACATAAGCCCAAGTAGTACTGTTGATTTACAATATTTAAGACAAATTTCAGAGGAGCATATTTGCTCATCTGATAAGACAAGCACAGCAAAGAATGTTTTGGGGCTTAAAAGAACTAGGATGCAGTCCTATGCATGGTCAGCTGTGCTGGCTTGGGAATGCTGACAGCAGTAGGATTTTTTTTCTATCTAAACATGCATAGAATTGCACCCCTAACAACAGTAGTGTATCATAACCTTTTGTGGATGAGACTGATCTATGAAAGTTTACAGCACAATAAGTCTCGTAGGATTGTGCGTGTTTGGGGAGTCTGATGTAACATTTGTGGTGTTAATTTAGAAAGGAGCTAAATTTAAAGGTATCTTAAGGACCTCATTCTGATACGAATAGTGAGGCTTTAAAGTGGGGGTGGAAACATGCAGGCTGCAATGCTGCTATCACACCTTCCTATCTTTGCTAATCCTGCCATCCTCCCAAAATCATGAAAAAATAATGCCTCAGAAATGCAGTGGTGGACTGAGACACTACCTAGGCATCCTAAGATCAATTTTAGCTTGAAAACAAAGTACATATGTCTGTAGTAAGCCTCTGTAGTCCTTAGTAAGAAGCCTTGCAATTTGCTGCCAAATGTTGGTGACAAATCAGCAATTTCTTTAAAAGTGCCTGGGAAAAATTGGCTCCCAGAGTGCCTGAAGCTGTGCAACCGTGTTTTAAGGAATTTGCTAAGAATGAGTTCACACAAGATAACTAATTGTGGTCACACAATTTTAATGTCAACAACGAAGAAATTTACATTGTGAAAACTCTTGCATCCTCTGGCTTCAATATGAATTCAAATGGATACTGCAGCCAAGAAATTTGAAGGAAACTGACATTTGAAAGGACAGCAGTGAAGAAGCAAAGATCATGGACATCTCACTGGCATCCAAGGCTATGAAAACCATACAGCGAAGAAAGCTGACATGAAGAAAATGCATTTAAAACATGGTGCTGGAGGAAACTTTCTGCATACTCCGGACGAACAGAAAGATGAATAACTGCGCCCTTGATCAAATCAAGCCAGAACTTTCCCTAATAACAATAACACCAGAAAAGTCATGCTGGATCAGACCAAAGTTTCGTCTAGTCCAACATTCCATACACATAGCTGCAACTAATTGTCCACAGGCTCACCCAAGCAGGATGGGTACAAGACCTCTGCTTGTCCAAACACCTCATCAATCGGTGTATGTAGGAATGCCACCTCTGGTGAAGGAGGTAATACATAGCCAGTATGCTAGCACCCACAGATAGTCTCCTTTTCCGTTAACCTGTTCAATCCCTTCTTAACACCATCTAGATTTGTGGCCATCACCATTTCCCTTGGCAGTAACTATACATTGTATGAAGAAGTACTTGTCGGTCCTAACATTTCTCCAATCATCTTCATAGGATGACAACAGATCTGAGTGTTCATAAACACTGCTTTTTTCTAAGCTGAACATTCCCAGTTTTTGCAGCCACTTTTCATAGAGGAGATGCTCTAGTCCCTAGATCATTTTGTTGTCCCTTTCTGTATTTTTTACCTTTCAGTAATGTCCTTATTCAGCTGAGGTGACCAGAACTGAATACAGACACAATACTCTGAATGAGGTCACACCAAGATTTGTACAACGGGAGTATTATTTTGGCAGTTCTGTTTTCCTTTCCATTTCTTCTTATGCCTAGCATGGAGACTGCTTTTTTCACAGTGGGTGCAAACTGAGCTGACATTTTCATCAAACTGTCCACTTCTACTCCAAACTCTCCATCACTGCTAGTTCCAATTTCATCAGCACATACTTATAATTTGTAATTTTTGCCCCAACATGCATTACTTTACACTTACTTATATTGAACTGCATTTGCCATTTCAATGCCCATTCCTCCAGCTTGAGATCTCTTTGGAATTCTTCACAAATCATTATGGTTTTGAACATTCTGAACAGTTTGGTATCATCACCACACTTGGCCACCTCGCTACTTACCCTTACTCCTAAGAAGGAAACTTATATGTTGACTATCTCTTATCAAGGCTTTGACTTCTAGCAATCATATGAATTACTCCTTAAAAATTGTGGAGTACACAAGTAATTTACCATGGATCAGGACTGATGGGGCAGTGAACTTCCATCTTCCTTTTAAAAAGACCTAAAGATCAGTGTAGGAAAACAGCCTGAATTGTCATAGTTTCAACAGCACCTTTTTTGGATAATACAACAGCACACAAATTTGTGTGGAGAGAAATTTATCATTCATTCCTGATGGAGGCATCATTCTTGCCTTAGGTAGGCCAAGCCAATTTCCATTTGTTTTCCAGCACCTTTGCTTTTTCCCTGGCAGCCTTCATCCACTTACTGGGTGAATGGAAGTTTTTCTCCTTTGCTCTTTGCACACATGTGAACTACAGGATGAATGTGTTGTAGTTCTGCCATTTTGGATTTGTATCTCCCAGTATATATTAAAATAAGAAAGAGAATGACCTAGGACAAGTACACTCTGTGCCAGAAGAGCTCGGTTATTTGAGCAAAATTCTACGGCATGTGATATTTTTTAAAAAGTGGGTCAGATTCAGAGAAAGACGTGTCTACTGTAAGAGAGGTAATTTTCCATCTAGAGAAGTAACTCCATCTGGATATGCCTTTTGGATATATTTTGTAAAATATAAGCCAGCTTCTGCCCTGCCTGTACGTGCAAAAGTGATCAGATTGTTCAGTTGCTCTCCCAGCAATAAACCGCTTTGCACCAGCAAGCTGAGCACTAGAAGACCCAATATCTGAGCCTACAAAACCAAGACCAAAATTACCTTCCATTAGAAAATGTGCCCCACCACTTGTGTACACACAGTCAAATGTGCAAGAGCTGACATCCAGATGGGAGACATTTGCTCTTAAGAATCGCTGCCACAATTTACATTTTTAAAGACTGTTTGTAGCTCATTCCTAAGGGAGTAGATCTTTCATGTGCATTGAAGAACACTTGGCTAAATTGATCTGGCCTTTGTAGTAAAAGTCATGCTTTCGCAAACTTTTGGAAATCTTAACATTTCACCCAGGAGACTAGAAGAGCTCCAAATTGGTCCAATGTTCCTTTAGCGCACTTTCCCCCTGAAATGCTTAACATGTGTATGCAACTTTTAATTGAATGCATGCACACTTGTATTTCCCTTTCCACTCACGCTCTTCTCACTTGCCTAATGCCATATGTCGGAAGGAGAGCTTTGAAGTTGCCACTGTGATTTTAGAAGGCCAAGCTTCAGCAGAGAGATATTGCTCAATAACATGATCACTATTGCATTTACTGACTCAGTGGTCTACTGAAATCTAATTTTTCACTTGCTACACTTTGGACCTGTGATAGGGGATCAGAAAGGTAACCACTGTTCCAGATCTCCAGATTTAATTTAAAAAAATGGCTGGAACATCAGCAAGCACAGCTTCTTTTGTGATAAGAATTTAAGAAGAATCCTGTGAGATCAGATCAAAGTTGAATCTAGCCATATGCCCATGGGAAGCCCACAAGCCAGACTTGAATGCCATAGCATGTTCCTTGAGCAACACAATTCAGCTTCCTCTAAACTTGAAAGGTTCATGTAGCCATCATAAACTTGCCCAGTTCAATTTTAAAGCCCTCTAAGCTAGCAACCAACACATCTTTACTGTGTGTCAGTGATCTCTGTGAATAAATGGTGCAATGTTGAAAGAAGTACCTTTTCTAGTGTTTCCTGAATATGTCGTTATTGCTGATGATACTAGGAAAAGCAGAATCTACTAGAGGGACTGACCTTGTTTGCTGTGCTTACCCAGCATTCCTTCTCAGTGACTGCAGAGTCTGGGGACAAAGTCTAATTATGTTCCTCTGTAAAAACATGAATCCTCTGAAATCCATGAAAACTTAATACTTTTAAAACTTGTTTTTCCAAGGCTAGTACTCTGAGAAGAGTAATACCAGAAACCCATTCCTAGCAGTCTACATCTGTACTTAAATTATACACAGTGACATGGGTTTTTTTAATGAATGGACTTACGATCTAGCACCACTTGGAGGGTAGAAGTGGTATAAAACTAAGAATATGTCAAAAGTATTTTCACTGAAATTATTTCCCATCTCAGCTTCTTCCCCTTCCTAGGGGTCAACAAAATATTGTGTCAGTGTTCAGTATTGAGCAGTGGTACCACAGCTCTGGCAGTAGCTTCTGCTGCTGCTGAATA